CCTCGCAGAAAGTGAATAACTTGGAAACGCTGATTAGGTTTCCTTTGCGCGACTCACATTGAATTTCAGCAGATGTTCAACTCCGACTGATTTTTATTTCACGAAAATGTTCCTGAAGTCTCGGGATTCGTAAAAAAAATAAAAACGAGAAAACAGGCACAGAAGAAAGACATTTACCAGACTGGGAGAAGGAAATGGAATTTTCGAGCGTCGTAAGCATTCGGAACTTCTGAGCATGTGAAATCTTTACGGTTAACGTCAGGTTGAAAGCGCGAAAAGTACCTGAATGGTACCGACGCAGAATGTAGACTAATGCTTGCCTCATTCGCAAGCATTCCTTTCGTCTGAGATACGGAAATGTATCATCTGTCAATTCACAGCCTTTTTTTTTTTAGCTAACGGAGTCCCGAAGAAATATTAAATTCTTTTAAAATTGTATTCCTTACCTTACGATGAATATATATTTCTATTTACTTGAGTTTCAAGAATAAATGTTCGATGGCATCAGCGAAATTTGACATAAGTCTCTGTTCTCCGACTGAGGTTTTCTTCAAGTGAGCCTTGGTATTTTGAGCATCTTAGCGTAAACTTCACTAATTGAAGTTTACGCTCTACCTTTACATTCTGAATTACCCATATGCAATTCGTCACACGATCAAAATGCATTGTTTCCATTTAAACATAATTGTCAGACATGGAACATCGTCAAGCAAGAGATTTATCAATTCATTCTTTATCGCTGGGACTGACTGCCGGTAGGTAAACCATGCAAAAGCGACGGTTATCTGTACGCATTATTTGGTGTGATACATTTGAAATATTCCATTTCCACTAAAAATAAGTAAAAGTGAGAAGAGAGGTTGAAATACTCCTCTGTAAAAATGACGCCCACCTCTGGTTATCACACAGCTGTTAAGGAGAAGTAAAGGCCAGACAAAATTAATGAACCAACCTAACACAGCTGGTTGTTTCAGCAAACTAAGCTGACATTTGAATGGACGTCAGCAAATTACTGCCTTCTATATACTATCTGTCATGATAGAAAATTGATTCCTGATATTGTTTTCGTCCATGCAATTTGACTCTCTCTCTCTCTCTCTCTCGGCAACAATTACTGTACGTCCACAAAATTAGTATCCTTGTATTGATTTTAGTTGTACATGTATGAAAATTTCATTGAATGTACAAGGAGCGCCTGTGAAACGCCATTCTTTTCATAACGATTTTTTTTTGGAATCGTATTGTTGAACGGATCTACATCAACGAATAAAATGATGAATAACACAATACGATACTCGTGCTTTGTACGACATAAATTCAACATGCAATAGATCTGAAACGAATACTGATTGTCCAAAAAAGGAGTCAAATTCTTCTTCCCTTATAAAAAAAAGTCCTCGAAATTTAATTTTTGCAAACGTGATGCATGATTACTTTAGAGGATTATTCGTGTTCAAATAAAAATGTTTCGTCACGCGAACCGAATCATTGAAGAATTGTGCGCTTCGCGTTAAAAAAAAAAAGGCTCAATTGCATATTTCTTGGCGGATGCGTTGGGAAACAGTGTTTCACGATGCTCACTACTTTCCCCGATATGCAGAGAATAAGGAAAGAACATCAACCATTCGACTGACACAAACAGCGTCACGGCGTCCCAGCTATTTTTCTTGCTCCCTGGTTTCCGGATGGTATACGAGCCATCGGAACCACGACCGGGAAATACTGGACTGGCACGCCATATCCCGATGCTGAAACATTCTTTTTCCCTTTCTTTTTTTTTTAGACCGGAAAAGATGCTTTCAGGGCAGGCAAGCANGATAGTATACGAGCCATCGGAACCACGACCGGGAAATACTGGACTGGCACGCCATATCCCGATGCTGAAACATTCTTTTTCCCTTTCTTTTTTTTTTAGACCGGAAAAGATGCTTTCAGGGCAGGCAAGCACGCAAAACTTCCGCAAGATATGGAAAAAAGAGTTCTCACAGGGCTGACGACTGCACAGGAGACCCAGAAGTCGTTCGTGATCGATCACAATTATCTTTCAACAACTGCCGAACTCAAAGAGATCTTGGCCCTCCCCTTAGGCCCTAGGGAACTGAACAGAAGCCCTCGTTTCTTATACTGAAATACGCACAAGAGGCCCTTTTCCCCCGCAAAAATCGGCTCTAGGAAAAAACAGATGAGTATCCGATTTGCAAGTGCCATGATCAATCTCTGGACCTCGAACTTTTAAATAAAGCGTTTCCCTCCAATATAATGTAATTAAAATGTGTACAGTAATTGGAATGCGGAAATACGCATTGATTTTCTCCTGAAGAACGAGAAAAATACCCATTTCTACTCAAATTCCAGATGCCTTCGCCCACAGCAAAATTCTTTGTTTTTACAAATATAAGGTTTAGTATTGTATCCTGATGACTCCTGATGCCATCCTTAATTCAATTTAAGTCATACTCGCATGCACACGAATCGATTCCAATAATATAATCTTATAAATTTGAATAATATCTGATCGAGAAGCGTAATCGAAATTTTGCACAATATTCACAGAAGTCCTATGCGGGAAGCATTTAGGAAAATGAAAAATGCTGACAATCTCTCAGTGTTAAATGCCAACAACAACATGAGCATATTGAATCACCAAGATTAGACGGATAAAATGATACCCGAGATTGATCGAGGTGCTACATCACTTCCACGATCCTCGAGGCAAAGGATCTTTTTGTGCAGAAAATGGCGCTCTTGTTGAGACACAATACAAATTTATGAGCTATCGAAAGACTCGTCTGATGCAAATTAAAATGAGCACAAGAGCAGAATTTGATATGAGGTGAATTTTATTCGATTTGAACGGGTAAATTTGGAGTGCGCCTTAAACTTGATTGTACTGTATTATTCTATGCTTTGCTTTTCGAGCGAACTAGAAGTGCAATTTCAATATACACTAGCTAAGGCCTTTAGGGCATCCCAATTCTATAAATATTTTAAAACGTATTCGCTTAGAAATCCTTCGTTCACTGAAGTAGCTATAGAAACGTCAGTCATGAAACGTTGGGTTACAGCAGTACCCTTCTCAGAAATCAAAAGAAAACTTACGACCCGTTTCTAAAAATACCACTTATAAGAATCTAAACTAGTGTCATGACGTTAGCGTAAGATAGTAGGATCTTTACTGAAACTACTTCGACTGTCGAAACTTGGCTCCCGACCTTCTTGAAGGGACTGATTAATTAGTGAGAGTCATGACGCTTGAATATCATTATAAACTCAGGTAAAGAGGCACATTCGCAATCTGACGCCGTGACCCTCGCCATCATTTCATGATTTAAAAAAAATGTTCTCATTAGCGCTTTCTCATGAGCTCATTCCGCAGGTCAACCCGGAAAGGAGGCTTTTTTTATAACTGCTTTTTTCAAGAAACGAGGGAACGGTCGAGTTCGGTAAGGTCAGTCTTGAGCCTTCTAGGTCAGCAGCGCGAAGGTGAGAAGGAGCAACATTACGTATACTGTATCAATGAATCGATCAAGCAATGCGCATTCTATTCACGGGCAATCGTGCGAATAACGTGGCAAATATTGTAGACAGGCACAGAAAACAATAAACGAAAGAATATTCGCCGGAATCACCTTGAAACTTCGAATGTACGAGTATCGCTTAGTACTGCATTCAATCAAATTTTCAAAATTTCAGATTCATTGAAAGGGAAAAAATGCTGAAACAAAATTGAAATTTGGTCGTTTTATGCTCGATTAACTTCAGTATATGTGAGAGAATTGGAAAGCATCAATATTTTATTTAATATTACTGAATCTGTAAAATAAATACTTTATTCGCATTTTTCGAATTTCCGATCATCCAAAAAAAAACCCTGTATAATTTTCCCAAATAATCGGACTTCAATTAGGATTTAATTATTGTTTCGTACGTTGAAAATCAGTTCCAAAGATATACCAAAGCATTCAAACACGAAGAAAAGCTTTTGTAACGACCATTGGGGCATGCTTTCTCGCGAAGCAACCCATCGGAATGAGATGTGCTCGTGAATCAATTTTCAAGCGAGCAACTGCTTTAAATTCAGCATATTCAATTGGCTCTTCGTCTCGTAACTTGAAGAGCGGGGGACCGTTTCAAGATGGAGATGAAGTAGCTTTCCACTATAGAAGATTCCTTTTATGCAATAGTGATGGCGATGCCAAAATGTGATGCAACTTTTTAGGCTCTAAAAGAATACGTCACGTCATGATCATTAAGAGCACCTTTAAAAAACGAAAAGCACTGCTAATTTAACTAGTCTGTAAAATGCTTCTTAAAATTCGTTGAGGAAATATCCGGCTGGAAAATGTAAAATTAAATTCCGTTGGAATGTACAGTGCTTCAGTTCCTCATTATACCAGGAATTGAAAGGAAATTGAAAAACGACATTACGAGACCATTGAAAGGAATCTCATTTAGCAAAGCCAACGTGTTGGATATTTTCCATGCTAACCGCGATACCTCAGCACTGTGAATGCTGGAAAGGCATTTTGAATTTCAAGAAATAACTTGACACAATTTTAAGTTTTGACTTAATTAGTAAATTATTGCAGTTATTGCCGAATTAAAAAATACAAGCGCCGAAAACGAGCAAAATCGGACTAGGAATCAATTTCAGTTTCAATCTGAGTCAGAGAAATTCGTAAACGAACAGATTCAAGTTCATGATCACGTTTTGAAGCTTTTTATGTGATCACTTAGACGCGTGAAATAAACTGATGCACTGATGCTTCTAGTAAAAGCAGGAAAACTGTTTTTTCTCATTTGTCCTTTCGCACGAAAAATACGAGCTGACTCAGTCATTAAAAAAAAAAAACGTTGCGAACAACCGCGCGTCATTCTCAAGTTTTCACTTTCTCGTCGAAATCGATCCGCGCATCCACGCAAATATTTCCTCCTTATGCACAGTAAATGTTTTTTTTTTTTGGGTGAATCACGGCTTTGGAAATACAGTACCACATTTCTCACAACCTTCTTCCGTTCGCCTGAAGCCACAGGTGCCGTGAGGTGTATTGGCTCATTAAGCACATGTGAGCTCGTTCAAGAGCGGCCAGCCAGCACAGCCGCTGACCGGCCGCTACGAAAGGATCGCAGCGGTTCTCGCCGCTTGGAGTTATTCTGCGCGGTACGCCACGAAGCGCTCGCGTATGCATTACGCTCTTCCCGGTGACGGCGTTCGAAAGCAGCTGCCTGCGAACTACGCAGGACGCGTTTTTCCCGCGCTTCGCTGTTCCCATTGCCAGCAAGGTCGGGAGAGAGTGCAGCTGCTTCGTACTAACCCGAACGGATTTGACTGAAATGTACAGCGACATCTAAACGGACAAATAAAAAACCCTAACATTTGGAGTATCGCTTCATACAATAAGGTGTCAGGTCAGCATCATACGGTCGTACGGAAATGCGGTTTGTTAAACTCGACTACATCCAGCGAGCCTTTTTTTTATCGAACGACTACTAAGTAGCATCCTTTATCGAAACACTCTGTTTTAATACCGTAACTGCGTACTTTAATTACTGTTGTACTCCTTATCTTAGTTAAAAACCTTCACTTTTTGCAACTACGTCATAATAAGCGAGCGTCTGCTGGTCTACATCAATCCCGGTTTGACAATATTGCCGCTGACCAGGGCACGGATATCAGTACCGTACAGCACTGTACTCCCATTATTAAAATGGATTAATTAGCCTTGTAACAGTCAATTACTTCTATCAAGTTGAAAGTGTCCACAAATTTATCCAGAATTGCCATTAACAGGGCTGGATTAAACAACATTTTGGCCTGATGCTGCACTGAAAATGAGCCATCTCCTTTGCAAAAAGGAAATGTGAACTTTCCCTCACACAATGGAAAAAAAATGTAATTTGTAGAGAACAAAGGATCTCTAAGTCTAGAATTCTATCACACAGATACCATCACAATGAATCTCATTAAAATACTGTACAGTACTGTGCATTTGCCTCACAATACACTTTTCCTAGTCCTGGCAGTTTCTCCATAGACACCATGTTATAGAAATATCATTCTAATGAACTCATTTTATAGGCTGTTTTCTCATTATAACAACATTTTGGGCATGATTCTGTGTGCAGGCTATAGCAATTATTTCATAAATGGCAGAAGGAATGAGAAAATATGAAAAGGTGCAGGATTAAAATTTCTTGAAAGACTAAATATTTTGTAGAGAAGGCTATAGGCATTCAAAAAAGTGGTTTAAGGAGGCATAGCAAGGAATGGGTTGAAAAAATAATAATTGTTTTAATTACTTTTAAATCACAAGTGTTCATATATTACTGAGGCTTCAGAAATAAAAAATAATAATTTTTAAAATGCCAAGAAATCACTTCAGAATATTTTTGAGGCCACCAAAGGCTTTTGAAATTGAGGACAGGAGTGAAAATTTTATCCTGCCACTGGTGGCATGGGTGGAATTGAAATCTTCGATTGTCTTTTCTCCTCCCCATGCTTGATAGGCACTTTTTCCTCTAGTTTCTGGCCCTTGGCCTTGATTTCCTTTTTTAATGCGGGTATGATTGTGTGCTATCAACCAATTTTTATGTCTTTGATCTGGTTTCCTCTTCGAGGATTTTTATGTGTCGTGTGCTGGAATTGATTTATTGATGCCTGTTTTTTTTATTAAATACTATTGTCTCTTTTCTGTTTTTGCTAGGTTATTTTTATAATTTTAAAAAGTTGGCATTCCCCGGTTCAGGAATTTTCAATTTGAAATTCCTCAGCTTGGAGAATTTTGCTTTTGAATTCTCCAGGGGCCTATTTTGCTGGTGGGCCTAATGTTGCAGCATCAATAGCACCCACCTTAATCGGGGCTGTGAATCTTTAAAGTGGCACACACTGAAAACTTGCTCAGCATCTTCCAAAATGAAGTACAGTACAGATGCTAAAGAAGTACAGTATAGTGCAAGGTTTTAATTTTTTGAAACAATGCCGTGTTTATAAACACTTCGAGTATGCTACATCGACACACTTCTTCGTAATAACAAAATAATTACGCATGCACCCCTCTCAAGCTAAGAAAAGTACGGAAATATTGTTGGTGTCGTAATTCGGAGAGATTAAATTGTAACAGAAAGGGTACGTTCTTAAACTTTGCGGGAAACCACGAATCGTGTATGACGACGCTTTCAAAGCTAATCAAATTCGCCCATGAACTCATGAACTTTTATTTTGAAAACATTTATGTTCTCTTGTAATTTCGATGAATTTATTTTATTTTTCCGAGTCCCAACTCCCAAGATATGAAGACAGATATAAATCCAATTTATAAAGACGGAGCAGCTGCACCCCTTCATCTTGGATTAACCGGTTCCTGACCTGAAGGCGTTCAGCTAAAAAAAATATTGTACTGAATCTTAACGCAAACATTTTTTTAAAGCAAAAAGACTGGAATTTTCGTCAAATGAAAAATTTTCTGGTCGAATGTTTTCTGGGTCCCTTTCAGTTCAACTTGAAGAATGTTCACTGGCATTTTTTCAAAATTTTCTGAACCCCCATAATTTTTCAAGAAGTGAAATTGAAACAGCGGAAGCAGAGAAGCACCCTGTTTATTTTACGGAGAGCAGTCAAAACAATCATACATCGAGTCAAACAATTTGTGCTTGAACAATTTGAAAAACATTCACCAACGTATAACAAGACGGAGGCTTTTCCGAAATAAAATCAATTAGCATTCAATGCGCGAACGGAAAAGAACAAAACATTTTCTCCAGAAAACGAAAAAATGGCGGATTTTGAATTTATCGAAAGTACAACGCGATTTGAAAAAAAAGGAACTGAAGGAATGACAACTTGAGCGAAATAGCCGAGCCAAACATGCAATTCGAACAGCAACAGCAGGCTGCTCCTTGCGAAATTTACCGCGCTTCCGAAACACATTTTAAATGAGGAAACCGAACTTCTTTTTTTTTTTTACAAACGCTATTCCCCACAAGTTGACCTTTCAAATCAAAATATTGTCTTCACCGGCTTCTCCAATCCAACGTCATTTGTATCACAAATGGTTCTATGTTTTTTTTTTCTTTTCAAATCTTCCCGTTTTCTTATCGCTTCCTAAAAATACGCATGACACTCGCAAAGGCAAAAAAAAAATATATTGAAAGCATCAAGGTTCTAAGGATACAAGACGACTCTTTGGCATCGAAGGAAGAAAATTCCAAGCTGCACTTCTCATTATATTTCCATTTAGTGAATTTTTCCAGTAGTTTCTGACCACTTCATTCCTCTTTCTTCCACATTGTGTTTAATCAGCTTTCAAAAAAGCTGACGTCTGCCATTGCCCGAAACCAACTAAAATTAAAAGAAGCAAACCGAACCGAACGGTTTGATTTAATGCCCAAAACGAAACCAATTTTAGCGTTGAAGACGCCTTGACTTTTATTGGAGAAAAACACAAAAAATGGATGCAATATTTTTATATTTTTACTTACGACTGGACCTATAGTCGTCAAAAAAGGCAAATGTCTTTCGAAGTCAAGTAGTGTAAAGATTATCTTTCAGTCTTAAATTTCACCTCAAAACTCACTACTTGCTGAATAAATACTTTTTTTCAGCTTTCAGACTGCAATTCCTGAATACAGCACAGTATTCTCCTCATCTTCCTTATATCGATACTCCCGTTTAACGACGTGGGATCGTAAGTACCAATAAAGAGTTTCTTCCTGATACAGACTCACTTTCAAATCACGAAGAAGAAAAAAAGACCTTCTGCGGGGAAAACCAGGAAATTATCTTCTGTACTTTTGTTCAGTGTTAAAAAGGCTTTCCGACGTTGGCCAGAAAGGATTTTTTTTTGCATCTTCCAGGCTTTCATTCGGTTTCACGAAGAGTCTCGTAAAAACGCAGCAAAATACTGGTGAGAATCGGACGTCTGCCTTTTTCTCGCTTCATTTCACACCACTGCGTCGACTTCGGTTGCTGTGTCATTGTAGAAAAACGATTTCGGACGAATCATTAGTGACGCTCTGCGAAGGGTGTAATCCCAGCCACGCCATCTGAACCACACAATGCCTGCAAGAAAAATATGCAGCTTTTATAGAGGACTTGAATTATCTCTTCGCATCAGCAAACAACACATTTTTGGAGAAATCGAGCAGGAAAAATGGGTTAACTCAAAAGTTTGTTAGCGTCAGAGTTTAGTGCAGCATTATATTTTTATTTATCAAACCTAGGACAATCATGGGTACACTCAAGTTGGCGACATCTACGAACTATTTATAAGAGCTTTCAGGCTACATTTCATTCAATGAAGTTCGGATTAGTCAGTGGATGTGTCATATGCAGATGACGAAAACAGACTGTGACTAAATTATTGTGTTGCTCTCCTGAATATATGAGCTCCCTTCCATTGCGGAAACTCAAGGTTATTGAGGATGGCTGCTTCAATTCTTCAATAATATGTCACAAATATGTGTCCTTTACCCGACTGCAATGATGGACGGTTCTTTTCCATCACACAGTGGTGCCAAACATTTCCCTTAGGGTAGTGAGTTTTGATTTGACCCAAGGTCTCCAAAATGGTGCACAGGGAGAATGAAATTTTCAGGAAATATTAAGATAAGCCAGGGGAGGAAAATTGGCAAGTCCAATAGGCCCCCGAGTTAATCCTATGGCTGAAGGTTGAAAAAAAAAAATCCAGCTTGGGTAAGTTCTTCTCTTCTGGCTCTCCCAAAGCATTTTTGCACAGATAGAAAAAGAAACATAAAGTTATTTCCCAACTTTGGCTAAATTGGCCAGTGCTATACAGTATTTTGTTTAATTGAAAGCTTCTAGTGAGAAATTCTTGCAAATATTTCCTGACACTGCCACCAAGGGCTCATAAGGCAAGCACATTGCAATTACAGTCAAAATTATTCAAGTCAAAATTTAGGGAACTGGCAACAAATTTTAGGTTTGGAGGTTCCGAAATGGGGAAACTGTCATTTTTGTTCTTGGAAAGATAAAAGCATTGCAGGACATTTTAATTCGTGATATACTAAGTCATAAATTACTTCTTACATGAGTTGAGTGGATGATGCCAAAGTTGGAGGCAATGGTTCATTTGCTCAATTAGTCTTTCACTTCCTTTTGAAACAAATCCTTATTTATTGCTTTTATCTTTCCTGCATTAAAAAAATAGCAGCCAAAAAGACCTCAAGAAAATTTGACTTATAAAGGCTTGTAGGAAAATCCCTTGAGTTTGGGAGGCTTTTAATGTACAGTACTTTTTCCAAGGAAATTCAGACGGGGACTTGGAAAAATTCGACTTGGGGAGGTTCGAGTTGTTGAGGTTTAACCGTATTCAAGAACCCATTATTGCTCTTCAGATATTTGCAACGCTCTGGTATACGTCACACAAGTGCTAATCAATGTCCTCTCCAATCACTTCAAAAGCATTTTCAAATTTATAGAATTTATGAACCCAAAACGTTTTTCGGAAGCATCTCACGTTTTGATTTAGTCCATTAAACCACCGAATGGAATCATTTTAGGCTCATAAAAACCGTTTGTATGCGCTATGATTCCATTCAACTGCAGCCCTCACATGAGGATCCTCTTTTCTCACCATATGCAGCATTACATATTTTAAAAATCCCTTCCCGTTCTGCAACGCCAACATTATAATAATTGTCAAGATTAAAAATTTCTTCAGTAGAAAAGTGGTGATCAGATCTCTGAAATGGTCGGCCGAGACGATATTTCAATTACTGTATGCATCATTTGGCACCTTTTAGGCTGCCTGAAAAATATTAGAAAGCAATTATGAGTGGCAAGTGAACCTAAAGTTTCCTCACAGTAATGTGATGCACATTACTTTCAACCCTCAGGCTTCTCATTTTCAACCTGTGTGGTCAAAATTGACTTTAATAACCGGAAATATCTCGGCTAAATGATACTCTGCAAAAATTATGGGCAATTTCGTCCATCCGAACTAACGGACAAGCGAAGATTCAGAAAACATTTGAAGCAATCCTCGTAAGTCCAACAGCTCACAGCAGACACTCTTCATTCACTTCATCATCATGCCACTCATTTTCTTTGCTCGTCAATTCTTGGGGAACGAACGCACGCATTCCATTCTAAATTATCGTCTGTTCATCCACTTTGGGCGTGGACTCCCTGTTTTTTGTTTTACAAATAAAAATAAAGTCTACGAGTCAGACGTTATCAAGGTTCAATTCATTCTTCCCATCCACGTTATATGACGTAGAAAGTATATTTATGCGAGCTACGTGACGAATGAGGGCTGAAATAGCGAACAAGGACAAGTAAACTCGGAACGATTCTTTTTTAAGGTTTTTGTTGTTGTTGTTGCGCCCATGCAGTGTTCATTTGGGTATGCAAAACTGACCTTGTCTGGCCTGCAGGTCGTTCGGGTCAGAAATGTAGAGTCCGTTCAAACCTCGACCACAGGAACGCCACCACCAGCCGCCCTTCAGCATCGAGGCGCAGTTCAGGCTACTGCGATCATTGTCCCTGTTTGAAAAAATAAAAAATAAAATAAATAATAAAGCTCAAATATCTGTCGAAGCCCAGAAACTTCCTTGATTTCAATCAAAGTTATTACTGCCGCGCCAGCATCGTAAACATTCACATTAATTTAAAAAAAAACGAAGTTCGGTGCCGTACTTCCTCTATTTCTGGATACGAGGTACATAAAATTTTTAAAACGGCTTAGCTCTGATACCTCGAAATCAATTCCATCTCGCATTCGAAATAAATACGATCGTGATTCGTGACCTCGTGTACGTGGCTACATCGTCAAAAATAATTTGAAGTGATGATCATAAAAGGTACTTCGTTCGAAAATATAGCCAGCGAAGTGTTTATTGCTTCGTGTTTGATGTCACTGAAGTTTTTGAGTACACCCTTATCGTCTATTTCAGTTTGTATCTATAAAAAGGTTCAACATAAAATGTTCATCTTTCTCCAGCTCTTCGATATTCTTGCACTATACCGTAGTATCTATATATAGGCTTAAACCGAGGAAGGTTCATCGAAGATGATCTCAATCAAACGATGTCCTTCACTGTGATCCGCGAGCTCATTGTAAGAATTTCCGTGTCGATGTAAGTAATTCAATGTAGAAGTGAAATTTAATTTCTCAACGCAGTTAGTAACTCCTGCATGTTACGAAAAGCATCTTATTGTAATGACGAATCTTTAAAAAATTAGACATTAAATCGCAGAAAAAAGGCGAACAACGCTTCATTGCTGAACATGGACTAATTTAATTGCAAATTTACGCTTCACGAATTTATCATACAACACTTACTTATTTTGCAACACGAAAATACATCAGGATTCGTTTTTGATCAATGGAAGCTTACAGTGGTATGCAGAGGGACCGTCTAACATAGTCTACAATAATCTTTGAGCGGAATAAAAAAGGCAAATGTAATTAATCCTACCTTTTCCAAAATTTTCCATTTGTTTGTGAAGAATACAATCTTAAAGATATCCCTGCAGCAGCAGTGGCATGGTGATTGAGGCCAGAGAGCAGCATTGAGTCATAAAGGCCTTTCATCAGTGGATTATATGCCTCAAGTCTTTTTTTTTAATTAATTGTTCACAACAAATATATCAACGCTGTGCAGAAGTGATGGGAAAGAAAAATGGCGCGCGATGAAGCGGAGACCTTGATGACACGGATGTTGGTTCACACGCGAGATGATATTAGCAGCGCAGACGTCTCTTAATGTGCAAACATGCATCTTATGGATTTGCAAGCACAAGTATCACCATCGATTCTATGGCACAAACACACAAGGTTCTTGTCTGAGAATCGTTACGATGGCGTCATACGTATATTCGAGTCTATACCCCGCGGGTCGGCTCTTCCAGAAAACAAGCGTATTCTTCTGTACTACATCGACGAGGGGAACCGTGTCAAAAATGATATACCCACCTATTGTACGTCGAGAATGGGCTGAGATTGCTTCCGTACCAAGGGTCATTGAGAGCATCTCCCGCATTGCCCTCGTATCCACCAACGACCAGTTTGTAATTGTCTTTCTCGCTGTAAAGCTTGAACGTGGAGTACTCGGCAAATCTAGTATATACAAAGTACAAAGGCCAGGCAGTTATTAATGCTTTCTGAGCACTTCATGAGTGGAAAGCCTGACTTCGGCGATGGTCACGCGATACCTGCGTTCATCAACCAGAAGGCGGTGTAAAATCGCGATTAATTATTATTTGCGCTTCTAGAACGTGGAATATAATTCTTGGACGGACAATAGAGCATCTAAATTGTTTCCCAAATTTCCCTGGGTATAATGGATAAAATGGACTCTACTTCATACCCGGTTCGAAAATTACTGTACTGCACTAAGCTTCCCGCTTCAGCTTCAAGAAATTCGCTGGCACATTTAATCTGACGTAAGAAAAATGCCACAAAGCCTATATTATACCGGGTGTTGCACCAGAATAGTACAATCTGCGACTTTTTCTTTTTTAATGGACGCATTAAATGCAAGATAATAATTAAGAATGGATACAGGAGTTTAAATCAATGTTCCCCAACCTGAGGTCCGCGTCCACAAAAGTTTTTTGCTGGTCAGCAGGAAATTTTCTTCAGCATAAAAAATTTATCAAAAGTAGCAATGAAGTCTATCATCTTTGTCTGAAATTTTGGAAAGACAATGACTGTTGTAATTATCCCATGAAAAATAAGTGGGGGTTTCTCCTAATTATATAAAAGAAAGCTTGCTGTTCAATTCAATTCAGTTCAATTCCAAATTATGCTTCAGACACATTTTAACTGGCTGGAATAAATTATTCTGAGTATTAATTCTGAGAAACCTTTCTTGAAACCCAGATTTATAATTTTTTGAAGGCATTCCACTATAGCGGCTTTATTGCTTCATAACTTCTTTTTTTTTTTAAAGAAGACGAAGTTTTTAAATACCTTCCAGAAAGTCTTACAAGCAAAACGTTTTTGAGTCTGCAAATATTTTATGAAACTTAGCCAAACTCAAGATAATTTTTCTGATAATATTTGCTGGTCCACAAGAAATGTTAAATGCTATGGAAATTTTGTTGGTCCACCGGCCCAAAAAGGTTTGGAAGCACTGGTCTAAATATTCGCCTGCTGGAGAGGAAAAAAAAAGCAAACACTCTCTGGACTCCGGAGAACCGTTTCAATTCGTGGGGGTAATTTCGGGAGTGATTATACCGCTTGTTGCCCTCAAAGTCTTCAAGCTCAATGCGCAGCATGCATTCCTCGGAATTGGTAAGCATGAAAATGTTTTCGTTGCCCAACCAGAACTCCTTGGCAACGTCACCGAAACCGTGCTTGTAATCGTCCCAATCTCGGTTAAACGACTCCCTCGGCTCACCGTAATCATCTCGGCGCTGAATGACCTGTGTTGCGAAAAAATACATTCATGAGGACAAACGCCAGAGCTTTACGGAAGAAAAAAAAGGAAAGAAAAGGAATGAGTAATTGAGCGTCAATAACTGAGCGCGTTAATTGCTCAATCCCTGTACGTACAGTCCATCCGCCGTCATTCACGTCCATGTTGCAGAAGACCTTGAGGTACCAGTACGTCGTGCCACGAATTTGCACATAGTAAACGCCACTCGTCCTGACTCCCCTCTTGTACAGATCCGCGCAAGAATATGCCTGAAAAAAAAAACCATGTTCCGAATATTATAGGCCGCACGCAAGGATAGGCCGCACCCCGATTCCGGAAAAAAAGTCCACGTACAGGTATTGGAAAATTCGGAAATTTTAAAATTTAAAAAGCGGAGTAAAACAGCAATTTTAATCGCGTTAATATTCGATTGGTACAAGAATAACATCGGCTCTGGCAATAAAGAAGCTCACATGCTACTGAAATTGCTCGCTCGACACAATGGCTGCAAATCATACAGAAAAGTCCTCCGAGGGCGTTGCTTTCGAAAGAATTTGTGTCTTTATTATGCAGTACGCATTTTCTGACTTCGACATCTTTCCATTATCCACATGATATTAAGTTCGAAACGATGATTTTAATACTCCAAGAATATCTCACGTCCACGTGCTTTTGGCGCGAATCTCGTGTAAAGTGCTGCCAATAAATGCGATATTTTTTGAATGCAGTGCCCATTTCAGAAAATTATTGGAGAGAAAATAGCACAGAGATATTTAGCAATTTTCACCTCGATCTTATATTCGTGAGTTTAGGTACCAGGAAGGCGGTACAAAAAATACTGCCGAAGGACGCATGAAACAGTACATTCGGTCTGTGATCTTTCATATAGAAAGCCAAATTGTATCAAGATTGCCTGGGCTTGGTCGTAATTTTCAACCAGTTCTTAAATAGCCCAGAAAAAAAACAGCAGGGGATATCATCCTGGCGGAAATGTTTTTGGCGCTTTTCTCATTGTACAGTAGCATGATTTATGTGCCATTTTCTATCCGACTTTCCGTTTCCCATCATTCGATGTCAATTATAGGCCACACCTTTCAGCTACCGCGGCTTGTCCAAAATCTCAAGCATTGTCCTCACTTGAGTTTTTCACCTGAAGCTTTTCTGGAAAATGAGGAGGGGGACCTTGATCGAATTGAATACAGATAATCAACGCAGAATAAATTGGAATGAACAAGTAGCATTCAAGAATGAAGCTCGCATTTTTCAGCCGGGCATTGATTATTAGACTCAAAGTTGGAGGAAATCGAGCTCGCATTTCGAGCAGAAGGTTTCCATCACTCGCAGCACGGTTATGATTACGAATCCCGGCAGTAAAGAATTGCGTGTAAAGTGAACGTGGAATAGTTCACTATTGAGAAATTTATGGTCCATTTATGCTATATCAACGAGCAGCTGAGTTTCGCCCGAACTATTCCGATAATTTCCGAGTGTGGCAACCCGAGGCGAACTAGGTTCCGTTTCGTTGGAACATTCCTGACGCGAGAGAGTGAGACAGAGAGAGGGAAACCTTATTGCGAAAATGTCGAGTACAACGAAATGAAAAGAAAAAAAACCGAAAAAGAGGTTATTTCCCCCCTTCAGCAAAGGATCACACACACATATATTAAATAATTATTTTTTCAAAGTGTTGTGTGGCACCGATTGGCCCCTAGGGCTCGAAAAGTCCTGCATATATACAGGAAATCACGCGTGACATTGGTGTGCAATGTCATAGCCGCAAAACGCGAGAGTCACGTTTAAAACTCAACCCAGCACGCGATTCTTGAATCCAGTGCCTCTTGCTGGTCATCGAGCAGAAAGCACATGCAGATTTGAAACTGGTTTCGAAGGCGTCCAACAAAAAAAAAGAAGAAAAAGAGTCGACTTTCTAATGGAATTAGAGTAGCGGTTCATTCGAGCTAAAAATAAAATTACATTTTCTCCTAAAAAGCAGAGATAATTTCGGCCTTGGGTTCCGCTTTCATCCGTCAGTATGGAAATCCGCCACCAGCATTATTCTTATTTTCAAAATTCAACTTCATTAACTGAGTCTCGAAGCTTACGGTATATTTTGGTGAAGTTTCTTGAAAAGCATAAAGAGGATTCAAATACTTTGCTGGAGAGTTCCTTTGAAGAGCCGAGGAATGCTATAGTGAACGATGCATTCTTTTCGAAGAAAAAAAAAGTTCGTACCAAATTCATTTCTTCTATTCATCTCTGTTCAGCATTTTATGTATCAGTTTGAGATTGACATCGATCAATTAAATGACAATTTTCTAATTTCGCAGCTAATTGAAGGCGTGAACAGATTTTCCCGTTTGTTACCTTCACCTTGATCATCGGCAATTCTTCAAGGGAAACAAATAAAAATGTCTGCGTGGTTTCAAATGCCTGCCATGAAAACTTTTCTGAACAAAGATTCTGGGACACAAACGAAATACAATGGACAAAGACTTCGAAAATTGTGTCAAACAATTCGCTCGGGTACTTTTTTATGGTGGCCACACACGTCGAAACCACTCCCGCCAAACCTGTTTTCTTTCAATCAAAATTTACAGATTTGAGAGTAGGAAAAAGAGATTGAGTACACCAAAAGCAGTTTCCTCTAAGGAAATGCTCGTTATTTCTGAGACTAATACTGGCTCCAGTGTTTTATGGCGATTATTTTAATAGCCTGTGTTCAACAGAAAAATGGCGTTGTAATACAATACTGTAGTTATTGTGAAAAAATCCATTCTTCCTGGTTCCTTTCTGGTCTTACAGCTTAAAAAAGCGATAAATAATTCTCCTCTGCAAAAAAATGAAAAAGTTTACGACGAAATGCTTGAGATGCCCAATTTAACTAGAAGCATTGATTAAATTTAACCAATTTAATCAATGTGTCCAACACCGTTAGTTTATTCTTAGTTAATTCAAAACAATTGCTTTGATTTTGAGGGAGAATTCTTAAAATGATATAAAGATGCCACTTACTATTCCGAGTTTGCTTTCTCAAATTACATTAATGTGCTGTAAATTTGGCGGTAAATGCGAAAGTCTACTCGCAATTTTCAATATATTTATTATGATGACGAGTTATGTTTTTGGGTGGAATACCTTTTCTCAGCATTTTCTCATCAATGCTAAGGTACCTGATTGTCCGGGCGAAGTACCCAGTCATTATCACGAATAATTGGAGCTCCAATAAGGTACTAGGTGGTGCAGGGATTTTTTTCCCTGAGCACATGATGATGTGCCGAAACAAAGTAAAATATGGCAATAGTTGCAGTATTGGATGATTGGCATAATTTATTCTCAGGTCAAGCGGATTTTCATCTTACGTACCTTGTAGGCCTGATCTCTCAGTGCACTTTCAGCTGAAGTGTTGGAACCCATGAAAGCAGGTTTCCTCTCGATGCTCGGGAAAACGACACTCGGAGATTTGCCATGGGGTGCGGGCATTGGTATCCCAGGTATGCCATTTACGGTATTCTGATCGAGGCCAGTGAGGAATCCGTCTTTCCTCCTGTTGAGGGTTGCAAAATGTCAATAAAGCAGGAACCTTTTTTTTTTTTTCATTTCGTTGTACTCGACATTTTTTGTGGGGGGTTTTTTTTTTTTTTTTTTTTTTTTTTTTTTGTCGGCAGTTTTATGGCTCCCGACGCAGAGGGGAAGAAAAAAATTATTGAGCATGCCGTAAATGTCGGAGAAATATTTGGAAATAATTTCAGATCCGTTATTCATACCCTTCCCCGGAACCAGATGTTCAAAAACAAGCACAATATGCGTCAACCCGGGTGCGATACCAAAATTTTCACGTCAGCATGGGATGGCAAAATTTTTATGAGCATATGCTAAAAAAAAATTATTTGAAAATCCATACCCGTAAGGTTTTCAAAAATACCCAAACTGAAAATTTGGGCGCCCATTTAATCACTACAGTAATAAACACAAAGTTCGGAAAATAGGTGTTTTTTTTATGCGAGGAGCTTTTCATCGCGGCTATTCCGAAATTTTTCGTCGGAATAGACTTCGACAAAGTACAAAAAATATTACAATGCATTTGAAGAAGTCTGAAATAATGTTAAAGACTGTAATGAATGTTTCATGTTCCCCTTTAAAGGTCAGATGAACAATTCTTCGCACATTTTAAGCATAACTAAATTAGCCAGGAGAACAGGCATGCAATTTAAAACAAAAGCAAAACAAAACCAAAAACAGGAAATGAAATCGAGAGCACACTAAGGCCTGTTATGATCAATTGACATAATGTCAATGACAAGATTTCGAATAGTACTCGATTGCCATTAATTTTCAAAAGCTATCCATCGCGAGAAATTGAAGAATGTCTGCCGAAATTTGATGCTTCAAAATTTGATTAGTTACAACAGAATTTAATCATGATTTTGGAATGATTTAGGCACCTGCGTCAGCCCTTCATCGTGAACAGGTATCACCCATAAGAAATACAATTCCTGATGCTCCTTATTATTCAAATTGACGGACGAAGTGTAACGCGTGGGATAACAAGTTATCGCAAGAAAGAAACACGATTCGTCGCCATTGCAGGTCAAGAATGGATCGTTAATTAGTAAGCTGGATAAAAACTGGTGTGTTAACAACCCGGAAAAAAACTTCCGACGTCAGAACGGGAAATAAAACCTGACGTAGCACAGATTACGACACAGAGTCGATGAGTTCAATCTATTCTACTCAGTTCAGGACGGTTTCTTCACCTCCATCTCTCTACAGGATCACAAAGAATCATTTTTTTTTATTCTGGTTTTTCATTCTTTCAGAGAAAAATAATAAAAATGTTACGTTGCAAAAACCATCACGAAACGGTGGAAAATAGTCCTCATCCTCCCGGCTATGATCGGAACACATGTTCATGTCCCGGCTTTATTCTTGATGGTTGATCATTCGAGAAGAGAAGCCAAGGAAAGCACTAAAAATAAGTTCTAAAAGCTCTCAAAACTTTTTTTTAAATATATGCAGCGATTAATGTGTTCAACAATGAAAGTGAAAGGCTAACAGTGAAAACTCACCCGATTGGAGAGGTTCGGATTAGGACAACGTACTGATTCAAGATTTACTAATTAATCATGCCGAGTAGCTTTGCAAATTTTTTATTTTCGTGCTCCTCCATAATTGTTGGAGGATCGTTTAATTTTAGATACAGACAAGAATTCAAGAATTGAATGAAAACTATTCAGTTTAGCTTTTTATAGTTTTGTTGCTTTTGATGCAACTTTCAAATTGTTCTCATGCATACTGAAGTTGTAAAATTTTTTTCATTGAAAAATGTTGAAAATTGAAACAGCTAAAATTTAAAAGGTAAAAACATTTTGGTTGATTTTGTACTAATTTCAAAAATGTTTTACATTTTGAGTTGTATTCTGTCAAAGTTTAGATTTTTGTATGTTTTAAAGCAGAAAATTTAGAAAACATCTTTGTGCATACAACTGTTGAAAAAAATGTAAAAATAGCTTAAGAATTGAATTTTTTAAATTTGAAAGTAGGTTCAAAAAATTTCAAAGTCAGCAAAACGGACTGCCGTCCGTAAGCCGGGCGGATTTTCGGAAACGGAGACTGTCCGTAACACGAAAATCCGTAAGCCGGGCGGTCCGTAAATCGGGGGCCGACTGCACCTGTGTACGATGTAATGATCAAGAGGCACTGACCTGGCGTTGGCCCCGGTGCTTCCGGTCGGGATAGACGAGGGTTCCAGTATGGGCACCAGGGGCACGGAATCGACATCAGAGTGAATGAATGGCCCAGCGTCGAACAGACTCGTCGCTTCGCCGGCACCCGACGGCAACTCGTCACCCGGGAACCGCGCAATCTTGTCACCGGTGCTCGACTTGCCCGACGTCGAACCGGTCCTCTTGAGGGTCTTCTCCACTTCGTACAGGTTCCCGATTATCTAACAGTTCGTTTTTTTGTTTATTAAAAAGAAAGCAACAACAAAATATTAAATTGCGCCACAATTGTTTTCTTTTAACGACACTGGGTGTGACTGAATGTGAGGAGACTCCTTTTTCGATCACTTCCGGCGTCATTTGAAGCCGGTGTTACGAAAGAGGCAGTACTGTTTTGATTAGCCAATAAATGCAGTCTTGTGATAGACATATTTCCAAAGATTTCAACCACCCAGATTTTGAGAGAACCCCACAGAATATGATTCAAGTTTCAAATATTCTGATTGTACTTTATAATGATACGCTCTGATTATCCGATCGGATTGGCAAGTTCCGTAGTTCGAATAATTTTGTTCAGCAATTACCTGAGATTATCTGACCAATATTCCCACAATTATTACAGCGGAACAATCCAACATATTAAATTTAAAAAGTAGATTCCACGATAATCAAATGCTGTACTAGAAATGCAGCAATTATTTAATAAGGTTCCCACGCCGTTTTTCGTCCTCTGTATTTATTAAAATGTGCGCACAGTTGATTAAAGTATTTTTTATATTTGGAAATCTTCTTCAAAAAGAATCATTTCTTTGAAAAAGAACATATTTTTTAGCGTTGTATACGGCTTCGACTGTGTTGAAAGAAAAATACGGACGATGAAACATTACAGCTTTGAAAGAAATCCCTGAGCTTTAGGATACTTCTGCGAAGTGTCTATACCTGATTTTAAGCAACAAATTATGAATGCAAGCAGATTTGCATTTGAACTGTGGATTTTTCACGAATATTTTTTTACATCATGGAGTAAATTTAGCTGGTTCTCAACGGAAGAAGTTTGTACCATTTGAACTTCTTGAAGTTGGTCGGTCTTTTTTCGGACCCAAGCCAGAACAGGTCTCAGACATACAAATTAAATTGGTAACGCTTTCCATCTGTAGTGTGAGCTGTATATGAAACTTTGGATTAAGCACCGTTTCAATGTATTTGAGGTCAGTTTCATATAGTCTAGGGACAAGTTTTCCCTATATTCGTGTAAATTGGTTCTCAAAATAGACGAATCAAAGTTGAACGCTTCATGGTGTGTAAATACAGTATAGTTACAAAATATTCTTAGGGTATAAATTCTCGCAATAATGCCGTAGTTCCGATTTTTTTTATGGGTCAGACAAGAACTCTGGTCATCGAATTATCGCATTTTCCTATCGAAGTCTGTACCGTTAACTAATTGCAGTTCGGTTGCCCAACGCGGCATTATATGACTGCTTCCCCTCGCTCTGGACTGCAGCAATCATTTTGACCACCCGTTCTCTCTCAGGTTGTCAGATTGGACTGCTTGGGACACCCAAGTGTCATTAGGCAACAGTATGCAACACTCCTTCGAGCGACGACTATTTGGATGTCTGAAATGATGTGGGAAAAACCCCTTTTTTAACCACGCTCCAGGCTAGGGCGAGAGCTGTAAAAAAAATGCATAAAAAAATGCACCGGACCTTTTTATCTGTCAGGACTCATTATTGCCATTATTAGAAGTTGGCAGAGTTTCCCACCGACTGCATTCTCAGCGCTGAGAACAATTTTCGCGCGAAGTACGTGACTGCGGGCATTTGGAAGTTGGTCCTATTGCAGTAAATATATATACATTATTACAGGGTGTGGCGATGAAGGACACATTGTTTTTATTTTTTCTGCCAGGGTTCCTTTTATCCAAGTTCAACTTCCTCTTTTTTTGTTAATATTAGATTTGTGCCTCGAACCACGTTTGCAGAAATGTTTGATTGATTTATTTTGCTTTCTAGTGTGTATATGAACGCAAAATCAACACCAAACCGTTCTAGTTTGAATGACCACGCCTTCTCAACATTGTGCAATTTTTCTTTTGCATTTATGATAGCAGCTGTTCGAATATACGCGATCGAATCAGTACTTCGCGAAAATTCCACGAGAAAGAGAATTGAAGGTCTTTCTACTGATAGCGATTTCTTTTCTGGATCTTTCATTGCTTGTGAAGCTTTAGTTCCTGGCGTTCAATTAAATAGATTGGACATTTCTTCTTGTGACATCTAAATTGGCTTAACTACTTCGAGTGGAGAAGGTTCAATGCTACTTTTCATGCGAGTCCATCTGAACAGAAGCGATTCTGAACACTGTATACTCCTTTATACTTTAGTAAAATATTTCATATTTAATATGAATGCAATAAGTGACTCGGAGCAATGTTGACAACTCGGAACGTCGGCTATCTATGTAATATGGAAGAAAAATGGAACTCAGCATATTTATTAATGAACTTCACCGTCAGTTTCTTTAAAACTATACCAAGTGACGTGAGAGAATAATGCAGAAGTTATTCAAACAAATCTTCGGTGAGAGTACTGTGTAGTTGGATTGCTTTATCACAATTTTCCAATCGAAATTTCGTTGGACATTCGGTATGATGAACTAAGATGAAGAAATGTTCACTGATTTTATTTTCTGCTATAAATTGATAAAATAGTGAATGATTTCGCATAGAAAATACAAATCAACAGGATTTTTAAGGACAGAAAACCCGAAAGGAAACTACGGAGCTACACAGAGAAAAATTGTCTTCCGTCAAAAGGTTATTCGGAAATTTACACCTGAAACTTCTGGAATGTTTGTTGCATTAACCAAATACTGCACTTTTAAACAATATGAACGAATTTATGGAAATCCAGTCAATTTTTTTCCTTTTTTTCATTTCGTGGTAAGCACTTCAATGTCAAGGATTAAGCCAGTTATTCCGTGAATTTCGTCTCATTCTAATTTAAATTTTTATGAGGTAATTTTCAAAATCAACCCACTGTAAAATTCAAGCAAAGAAGAATTTTCCTTTCGTAGAAACGCAAGTCAGATGATGATTAGGTTGGTTCATTACCTGGTCAGCCATGTTTGTCAGATCAGTGTGTATGATTGAAATGGCTCTCTCCTGACGTTGCGTCTTGTCGAGCAGCTGCTGGGATTTAGGCACGAGATTGTCGACGGTGCTCTTGGTGCCGACGACAACATTCCAGACCTCTTCCATTTTCTGCGACACCGACGCCAGGGGGTCGACACGGTTCATGAGCTGATCAATTCTCGACATTCGAGCCCCGCCGTCGCCCGTACCGCCGGCACGTTTCGTCTTCTGTCGCTGTCGTCGAACTGAGGATGCCGTCGTCGTCGTCGTCGGTGTCGACGGACTTTGCGTCGACGTTAGGTTCAGCATCACTCCGAGGCTTTCTGAAGCTTCTACTTCCTGGCCTTCGTCTAAACCCTGCCAAACGATGAGAATTTAAAATTCTATGCGTAAAACATGGGCAGTATCAGTGCTTTCTTTGCAAAAATTCCGAGCAAGAGAAAAGGTTTCTTCTCAAATGATATCTTTATGATTTCCATGGGTGAATGTTGGAAAAATTCTTCGTCGTACTAATTGGAAAGTGCAGGAACAGTTTTACAGTGTGCTAACTAATTATTGAACCTGATTGGCAGGTGAACAGCAGTCGACGTTTTTTTGTGAAATATGAATTTTGAATATTATACTATTGCTTGAAATACACACTTGCATGTGTATTTATTTTGAATTGTCACGGAGACACCAGAACTCACATTATAATTAAGCAATGATAAATTTTTCAGGAAGCCTTTATATGAAACTTTATTTCAGGTGGCTGCATTTTTCGTTTGACTATTAGTCGGTGAGCTGCAGATTTTCATTCAACAAGTGCGCGAATATCGTGGAAGAAAAATATGCAAACAAGAAGTATCGAAAATCAAATCGAAAGGAGCGTCATCCCACTGACATATGATAGGCAAAACTGTTTTTTGTTCTTGAATAACAGTTTTCTTAGAGCCATTGAAAATTAACCAAAATCCGTGCTGCAAATAAATGGAAAAAATTACACTATATGTAATACTCTAAAGAGAAATTGATCAACGACTGATGAATTTATTTCACAGTACCTGGCCTTATTTCCCTTCGCTTCTTTCTCAAAAATTTCACATTATTATTGCTATTCGGTTAATTCGTCATTTTGAGTTCGAAGTGGTTTAAACGGAGATAAGGTAACTTCAAAATATGTGAAGCCAGGGACGAACATGCTTTTAGAGACGTGCTTTATCACATTATGCGGGGCAGTTTTAGGTGTAAATATATAAGAGGTCGTATGATTTAAAACTTTTTCATATGCCTTGACTGTGATCCATTTCTTCATGGTTACCAAATTTCCTTTGCATCGTAATGGGTTTTTCTTCATTTTAAATGGTTCGCACCAAGGAAAAAACCATATTTGCTATCAAAGATCCCATAAATATGATTCAAAGTGCCCTGGTAACGTTTATTCTTTAAAAAATTCAAGGACAACATACTACTTTGATAATTTTTGGAACAATCACGGGGCAATTGAGAAATTTCACAAAAAAGTGATAGCAGAGCAATATAAAAGAGCTCCGTCAGCATTCTGGAAGAATCGATGCTGTCATTCATTCATCTGATGACGATATTCGGCCTTGCCCTTTCGACCTGTACAAATTTTGAGCCGAAGGAATTCAAATATTGTGTTTTGCAAATGGTACGTATCCGTGTATTGTACCAGAAGAGTGCCTTAATCCAAATTTTAAAGACTAAAAAATGAGATCAAGAGCGAGTACTGTATTTTATTTACTGGAAAATTCTCAGTTGATACATTTTTAGCTTTTAAAGATTTATAGAATGGAAACCGCCCTAAACGAGAATTATTTTCAATTTCATCCGTCCAGTAAAATCAAGATATCAGTCTAGACGTCGAAATTAATAACAATACAGTACGTTTTGGCATGAATAACCGCTTAACGTTCCAAGCCCCAAATTGTACTTCCGTGTTCCTGGTCTTCAGGCTAACAATTTCGCACACATTTTCAGAGAAAACCCAAAGGGATTTCTCCAATTCCAAAAAAACACTTCCATGGCCAAGGGCAAGTAACTGCGATGCATCAACAACCCACTGAGGAAAACCCGTCATCGTTGCTTACGGCGGCGAAAAAGCCACCAGAAACTTCCTACATTGGCTCAGCTCATTCTCGGCGTATGAAACATATCAGACAATTTGATTTTTTTCCTCGAAACACTGTACTGTATGTTTTATTATTGTTTCTATAGTTGGCTTGAAATTAAGCGGGTTATCGTCTGGCCACACAGAATTGGGACTGCTTTGGTTTGCTAGTCAAACGGGTCACTTGTTCGCTAACGAAATCCGACCGCGTGAGACTATCAGCACATTCACCATGAATGAGTGACGTCACTTTTCTATCTCGCGAATGAATCACTCGAGAGCCGACGTGTGAAGACAGTCGACGAATGGGTGTATCATGCAGATGTTGTCAAGGTTACTGCTTCGCTGGGCGACGAAGCCCGTCTGTCATCAGCACATTTTTGGGTGGGCAAATCACTTCGAATAGCGAATTAAAAAAAGGGGGATAAAATGAGTCTTCAAAACGGGATAATATATTTCCCAAGTCCCTGAATAAGGCTCTGCATGAACCTATCAGGGTTCGGCGGCTGCTCCAGGTAATACAAGTAAAGAGCAGTAAAGTTTCACGATCTCGAAATATCATTCATACTTTTAAAATGCTGTTATTGTGAGCAGTGATTGCGAAGAGTATTCAAAGACTTTTTCCATATTACAGTACAAATTACTGTGTTGACCATGAAAAAGGAATATACTGTATTCTAGTCAAAGTAATCAATTAAAATGAAAACGAGCAATTGATTTTAAAGGCCTGGAGAGCAGTATACATATTGATTGAAGGAGTTCACCCAATGAAATTCATCATGAAAAAGGTTTCCTCGGTGATCAGAAGAAATGCGGTTATCTATCACAGTGAAAGAAATGTTCAATCGAAGATTAACCATGTCCATTTTGAATCGCATGCATTGACATGGTTCCAGAAAATGTATGGAAGCTTATAACTCCAATCCATAGCAGGAGGATCTCCGAAGTTCAAGCAATCATTGATAAACTTTCTCCTGAACAAGGGTATTCCATAATTAATCGCTTCATAACTTGGCAACTGCATGAAAAAAATTAATACGAATAAAAATGATTCATTCGACTAAACTTCAAATAAGTGCGGTGGTCACAGACTAAGATTTTTAAAATGTGGAATCCATAATTTTACACAAAATCCAGGAATTCAAGAAGCAAGATCGTCGGTTGTGAAAAAGCCTTATTGAGGAATAAATGGGAATCAATTTTTTCATCTTAAAAGCGAGAACAGGATTGAACTGAATGATGCTTTAAAAAAAACGCAGCAACGGTATCCTTTTTTCTGATGAAACTCGAGTTGTACAAAGGCAGTACCAAATACAAGGCCAAATATGCCGGCTCCACCACTAGGAAAATAATGGTGCAAAATACCTTTATAACTGAATTGGACGAACTCATGCTGCTTCAGTGCCCTTGCTTATTTTTTTTCCTTGGGTTTTTGTTTCGCTAAGGTGAACACAGTAATTTTTAAAGGTTTAAATGTTCATGTGCATTGAAAAAGTAACACAGTTTATTCAATGAACCTGGAGATTTGCAGTCGACGCTTTATCTTGGGCAGGGCATTTCCATCATATTTGAGCAAGGCTTTTGCATTGCAAAGGGACATTTCAGTTGGAAAATACATTTGTTCAATTAGAAAATTGTTTCTAAATCTACAATTCCTCTATCTTCACCACGATAAAAATGCTTGCTTCTCTAACGCAAAACCTTCCTAACTCGAATTTTTTCTGGTCCCGAAAATTCGACTCAAACAAGAGAGGTTCAACTCTATATCAATTAAAGAAGGAAGGTATAATTGATAAGAGCAGTGTTTCTCAACCGCACCAGGCGCCTGGTGTCGGTCAGGTGCCTTCAAAAAAAAAGGCCAGTCGCCCTTTAAAAGAAGTCGTATTATGTAGATAGTTTTCATTCTTACTTCAGACAATAGAAATAGACTTTAAAACCTTTCACAATAGCAGTTGAAATTACCTGATGAAAAATGAAGGTAGACGTTTCTCTTAAGAACACCTCTTGAAAAAAATTTAACCTGCTGAAATTTTTTTAAAGTTTTAATTCTGAGGAAATGTTCTTCAAGCCCATCTTTCAAATGTTTTGGAAGATATTCTTCCACTTGGTTTTCAACTTAATTTTTTTGCAGAAAAGCATCAATTTTTAAGATTCCCACTGCTATACAGTCTTTCAAGCAAACACTTTTTCGAGTCTGCAAACATTTATAAAATGTTGCTGGTCCGCAGAAAATATGCCTGCCTGCAAAAAAATTCATGGTAATTTTCCGGTATCCGCGGGCCCAAAAAGGTTGGGGAACACTGCTGGATTAGAGCACACCCCTACACAAGGTATATCAACTGAAAACCTCCCTTTTACGATTTTTTTTTCTTGCTCGTTCCTTGAAATGCGATTTGAAGAGGTTCAACTGTAGATCCATAAGAAAAAAGAAATGATTGTACCCCTATTAGCACACCCGTATATAACTGTCCATAACTGACCTGTTGTTTCCCATATAACAGACTGTCATCTACGATGGCACCATGAATTTCGGCCACGGAACGGATCAAGTAGCCCAGCTTCGGCCACATGACCCCCGTCAAAGCCGTCAGCCGCGCCTCGATCCGGTTCACCGAGTTCTTGACGACCGCGAAATCGTCTTGCAACTCCGCTGCGACCAATTCCGCACTAGACTTTCTGCTGGCGGGCGACGAATTGCTCCCGAAGGCGTTGTCGGTCGCATTCACTTCGCCGGCGGGGGCGCTGAAAACAGTCTCGACGGGCAAGTCCGAGTTGAGCCGCACTGCGGACTGACGACGCTCGGAAGCCGCGGTTTTGAGGACTTCCTCCGAGCCCGAGGGGTACGTGTTGACTATGAGCTTCTTGACCCCGACCCGGTTGCGGGGGGCTGCTTTGTTGTCCTCTGCGAGGGCATTCAGCTTGCTGTCGATGATGTTCATCTTCTCGTCGAAAGCTACCAGTCGGCTGTCGAGGCTTTCCACGGCCTTGCCGTTGCCGACGTTGTAGAGCTTCGAATCGAACGATCGCAGCTTGGAGAGAACCTTGAAAAAAAAAAACCACAATGTTTCATTTCACATTTATTCCTGATGCATAAGAAAAATTCACGGGGGTTTCATGTACTACTTCATGGACTTACAGAAACTGTGAATAATCTAGCATACAAAGATGCTCATCAGACAATTCGACTTATACGAACGCTTCCGAAATAAATAACGGGGGTTTCATGTACTACTTAATGGACTTACAGAAACTGTGAATAATCTAGCATACAAAGATGCTCATCAGACATATACAGACAATTCGACTTACGAACGCTTCCGAAATAAATAAAAATCGAACCCAACTTTTGAAAAATATCTATAAATATGCGGATACTCCCAAAAATTCTAGAAAATGGATTATTTTTAATTGATAAAAATGTTGATATCTCTTGATTAAATTCAGTTTTTATACGTATATTCGAAAACTTGAAAATACTGTAAATTGTAACACTGTGGATTTACTGTAGTTCATGATCTAAAACAGGCAAATATTTTCCTTATTCTTTCAGAGTTTTCTTCCCATCATCTGTGCATAATAAAGCATGCTTTATAATGCACAAATAGTGGGAAGAAAACTTCGCCTGTACTTTGGCTCACATAGGCTCCTTTGCATGCCGGAAGATTATAATGTATTACGTGTGCATGGTTTTCTTTTGCACAGTTGTTTTCTTTATCTTATGGCTGGGAATTTTTCGCCTTCTTGGTTACGTTTCCCTAACTTTTTATCAGCAAGAGAACCAATTAAATATGTTCACATTGAAGTCTATGGGAAGACGTGAACCAATTCGTGAACGTTTCAATGTGGGAACCAGGTCCAAGCGCTAATTATGTCCGCATCTCGGGGCCCCACTTGGGGAGTTTGAAACAGCTCATCATACGGTTCTCAAGGAACACTGGTGAAATGATGTGAAGTTATGGAAGAAAACAAAACTTGTAATCTTTATTCAACTTGTGTAGTTTCTGGAAAATTTAGGACAGCCTCATGCAAAACCTGAGGGTCACAGAACAGCTGCAGGAATTTAAAAATAATTCGCCCGTCTGTGGACGAACACCGAAAAGATTTGCTATGGTCCACCGATAACAAGAGCAAATCAAACTTTTTTGCGCATTTTAGTGGCTTATGTCCGGAAAATATAAATTAAACGTCTGTACCTGAAAGAATATAATGGTTTCCTGTCAGGGATAGAAGAGGGAAAGGTTGTATTTTCGGGGAAATTGTTATCTCTTTTAATACCGGACGTAGTTGAATGAATTGCCCGTTGATTTGCCAAAAAAAACAAAGTTCCTTGTCAAAAGGGTAATGCAAGAAGTTGCTTTATATTCGTGTAAAAATTCGTTCTCAACTTTTCAAAATGCAGTATTCCTGTTTCTCCGATTCCAGTAAAGAATAAGTCAATCTAAATAACAGAATGACGGTTCAACTTTTTTGCGAGTTGCTTTGTTTTTGTTGAAACGTTCTGGATATTCAATAGTGTTATGTCTTCACAGTTTGGGCTCCTCTCGACTGTTTGCAAAAGCAAATCTATAATTCCTCTAGTCTCGCTTGGCAGATATTCCCAAAACTATTTTAACCAGATACCTTGACAACGTAAATAAATTGGTTAGATTTCATAATTTATTTTATTGAGTGGGAAGACTCCAAGGGATGCCGTAATATCGTCTGACATTTAGTCCAACGAATTGCACCATGAAACTGTGTTTCATTATTATCAACATACATTCGGGAAATAGAAAATTAAGCACCGAATAGTGTTGTCGAAACTACGCGGCATAAAATATATAGATATTATGTCCGATAACGTACGTTTGTCACGCAGATTCCCAGGAAAAAACCTTCGTGTTTACAAGGAATTCCAGTTCGAAAAATGCCCATCAAAAACAGTTATTTTCCATCATGAAGCCATCTGATTAGGCAACCCGATCCTCTGCAGTAATACGCGGAAGTTTTGTACCCAAAAAAATGAAAACTTTGGTTCACGATTTTCTAATAATTTGAAATCTTCGCGGAGAATCTGGATTGTTGCGGAGTAGGGCTTATTTCAAGTCCCGGACATGAAGTCGTTAATTCAGGCACCGAAAAATCCACGAAAAGGGTACCAATTTTATGATCCTACCTTTGACGAAACTGCCGCCTTAAAAATAAATCTCGACTTACGCATAGGAATTCTTGCAATATACAGGGTGCGCAAAAAAAAGAGGGAATCGATTTTTGACACAATATTTCAATGGGAGACGCAAGCTACAGCAATGAAAAAGAAAAACCATTTGAGAGCTTGTTCAGTTTCCTTTCGCACAATTTGTGGTTTTGTTATGGTCCCAAGTCCACGGCATGGTCACAAATACCGTTGGAATGATAACTTTCAACAACAACAAAATTGACAGGAAACTTTTTCCACAATAAGCTGCTGTTCTCCAGAGCTGTTTTTAGGAATGAATGGAGTGCAGGGTTGGTAATTTAGCCGGCAAACTTCAAGCTTTTTTTTAAGGGGGTGCACATTTTTAAAAATTCCGGAGGAGAGGGCGTTAGAAATGATAAATAATTTGTAGTGATGTACTCGTATGTTGCCCCAATCCCAATTCACACTTGCCAGGGGCCAGCCTCATGTCTCATGAGACCCCCAAATGAGTGAAATTTTCTGCATACAAATTTTTTCTGGATAATTGGGTGGCTCCAAATCAGTTTATCAAAAGTCGATAATTAAAAAAATGATGCCTGGCCGTTTTTTTTTTAATGAGCAAAACCAATTTCGAGCAATCCAGATATCCTCCCGAATTTTTGGGAATGTTTGTACCCTCTTGAAGGCAGCATGAAGTTTGCTAGTTAGATTACTAATCCACCATCCCATTTATCCCTACAAAAGCAACTCTGGAGAACAGCAGCTTAGTGGAAGATGTTACTCAACAACTTTTTTTTTTCTTCAAATTTTCCTTCAAATGGTAGTTGTGACCATGCCATAGCTTTTGGAACCATACGACTACGAATCACGTCAAAAGAAATTGTTTAAGCTCTCATTTGGAGTTTTTTCATTGTCGTAGCTTGATTTGTCATTGAACTATTTCAAGTCAAAAATCGGTTTCCCTTTTTTTTAACCCTCCCTGTATATAGCAGTGCGAATTTCGAACGCGTGCATTGAAAGTGAGCTCTAAAAGAAAGTTTTGTCATTTTTGAAGCACTAGCTTTTTGAGTAGCTTTGTGAACTCACTCCAGAATTAGCATGTCATCCAAAAATAAAAAGCGCTTCAATTATTTCACCTGTTCAGTTTTTTCAATATTCCGGTTCACCCTGCTGTTGATGGTTTCCATCTTTCGCATTAGATGTTCCACGGCCTTGTCTAGATTTTCCACACGCCTGAGCTTCGCATCCATCGTTGACAACAGGGACTCGAAGACGCTCATGATGAATCGATCCCTGGAAAACAATAAAAGCAGGCATACATTTTAAAGATTCTTACATTTTGATGAAACATATTGTAGACACCGGTGATACATGGATCGGAAAAATCATGAATTACGCTAAAAATTTCAAATACAGTATCTGCGCTTCAATTTTTTTTTTTAACCCTGAATAAAAGAAGGTGATCTTCTGCATCTCGTTTCCGTCAGGGCAATAAAAAGTTTCTGCGCCGCCAATGACGCAGTGCAACATGAATTTGTTTCATCAGTCCCAAATCGATCAAGCTTCGACGAGTGAGGCTTACAAAAAAATTCAAATGTTTAAACTGTGCCAAGTAATAAAAATTTCCACTGGAAACATTCTCAGCACTCCAAAAGGGTGGAGTCAACAAAAAGTGATATATAAAAAGGGTTTTTTATTGAAAAAAAAAGCAAGGAAGTCTGATTCGGTTATTGATCACATCAGCAATAAATGAAATACAGTATTACATTATTTTTGAACCTTGATCCCCGCCGGCGTTGAATCTTTATAAGAAAGTTTGTAAGTTTTCCTCGACTTGATTTTAATTTCTAAACGGTTTGAGCTGAAATTTTCTTGCATTTGTGTTTTCATTCAAATTAAAGTACGAAAAGAAACCCTCTGAAATTATTTCCGGATCTTCATAAATTATAAGGAACATAGCAAAGAAATGCAACACATGATTATCTATGGTATATTTTTCTTCCTGAAACAAAAACAATAATTTGATTTTGTGCCTTTCTCCCTCCTTGAACATCTCTGATATCACCAGTACTTGTACTTCTGATAATATAATGCTGTGCGGTTACAGTCCAAAAAATGTTGAAAATGAGTTAATTTAATATTGCTATTCATATGAACCTGAGGTAGGTCTGGAGTAGACAATAAAGACCTCGGTAATTCGTTCTCCTGATTTGAATTTTCGGGAAATTTCGTAACACGCGGAAAAGACTCTAAATCGTTGGCCGAAATAATTGACGCTCGTCTTCGCTGCTGATGCTGGATCTGTATATAGCTGCGAGAGACTCACCCTTCAAGTTTAACTGGATTTCCCTTTTTAATTTAATGGCCGGAAAAAAAACAAGGACAGAGGAAAACTTACATTTCCAAACAAACGGAAAGCTTCCTTTCTTCAAAAAAATGTTTTGCTGCGTTGAGAGTTTCGCCGAAAGCGGAACATGCGTTTCCATCTTCTTTTTTCTTTCTTTCGTAATGTCTACTCTCCAAGCAAGGAATAACAAGTGGAAGAGAAAACAACGGTGGAATCTGACGTCCATTAGTTAAGTCAGTTACCCTGCGTGATGATCACGACTTCTTAAAGTCTCCACGAGACAATTCCTCCTCGCGAGCTCATTAGGTCAGCATTTCTGAACAAGCACGTCACGACTCGAGAATTTTGGAGTATAAGGTGATTCCGGCGACTTTTTCTTTTTTTTCGGTAATCGGACTAAAAATCTGCTTAGGCTTTTTTTCCGTCGGATTATATTTCCGCAGTTTGAGAGGAAAACTTTTTCTTCGGTTACCGTATTCACTCGAATATATAGAGGAAGCACTTTTTATGCTAAATAAATTGGTTTGCGTCATATACTGCAATATTCCCAGGAAACGACCATATAGAAGGTTCTGACCTATCCAATCTTTGGAATAATACTGTAGTTAAGCTCCGAATTCAGTAAATTACAAGCAAAGAACTGATTCCGTAATAATCAAACAGAGCGAAGTTCACATTTTCCTGCATAATTGTTACGATTCCTGAGGCACGAAAAAAAAACAGAGGTGCGTTTCATAAATGTCTGCGTATTTTATTCTAGTGAATACTCGTATGGTGTAATATACCGTATAAATTATAATAGAACAAATCAAATTCTTTCACTGGATTTAAAATTACAGTGGGGTTTTGGTTAACAAACGTCCTGGCTGACTAAATCATCGGTCAACAAACTTTGAAGCTGGGCCTCAGCTGCCTTGGCTAACAAACGCCGACTTAGTTTACAAAATTCAGTTGATTCATATGTGATTGAACCATTTTTTGTTTTTGCAAAAGCCCGTGACTTCCTCCTCGACACAATTTCTCTTGCTGATGCAATGATCTCGAAAGTGTTTCACTCATAAATTCTGCATTATACAGGTACGATGAGGAAGCGTTTCTTTTAAAATTCCCGATTTTTTAACGTTTCAACTGACAAGACAGAAAATTGCACCATATAAATTATTCAGGTGAACATCCAGCCGATCATCAATCTTCAAAATTTTAAGTTTCTGGCGCAGTTATTTTTCAGTCTGTGATTGAAAGCCTTCGAAGATCGCGTTACTTTTGATGGTTCATCTTCAAAGGTCGAGTAGAAGAAGGTTTAACAGAATCCATCGAATCGAGAAAAAAAACATTTCATAAAGAGTTTTAAACGCATCTACCGCAATAATAAAGGGATCTCATCGCTTCTCTCATATTCTGCCTATTTCAAGGATGTTCCTCGGCATGTCTACAGCAGTGGGATGGAAATTGTAAGTTCCGGGAGCGACAGCTCGTGACCCAGGAAAATCGTACCTTCAGTATCGACGTTTCCAAGGTCAGCAAATTTGAGCGTATATACGAATTAAAGGGGGAAAGGGAGTTGGCGAGCTAAATCGATTCGCCGTTAATGTTTGAGCGCGACACAAGGGCAAGTCCTGCTGGGGGAAAAAATATACCTCGCCGAACCGAATTTGGGTGCACTGTGGTACTCAGTTTAATAATGAAAAATAAATAATAACTACCCAGAGTGAGCATTTGTTTCGGGATACGCCAAGGACCCCCGTGACATTTTTTGAAGGCCCTGCTCGCACACTGCTCGATATATTACATTTCTGGGTTACGTGAGGTGCGTGATTCCTTTTTGTACATTCAATAATGTACCAGTGCTAACATAAAAGCTGGATATTGTTCTTTTATTACCCATAAAACATCGTCAGCAGATACAAAATAACGGAATTTGATGGTGTACACCCATACAGGTTATACTGTAGATAATCAAACCGGCCCTGCAGAATAAATTACAATCGAAGTTATCATTCGAATAATAATCCTTTAGATATCGTATCTTGCGAGCTATCCTTTCGAGAGATAAACCCACATGCCACCGAATTTGTAGTCATTTCGAAATTTTGAAGTACAATAAATTGCCTTGCGTTTTTTCGTTTCGGCATAATTTACGCATCAGGCACGGGCCACGTAAAAATGCTCGTCGCCACACTTTATGGAAAATTCTGATCAACATACGCGGTGAGGATTTCTCGTTCATATCGGTTGTCCAAAAAGATATAAAAATCCTTATATGAAAATAGTAAACGTTGTACCATTTTTTCTTTAGCGTGGATCTCTTTTAATCAGCCGACAGTTACTATATTTTTACCTTATAGCTGTACTTCAGAGTATTCACGCTCCGGGCGAGAACATTCTCAGGCTGTTTTTAATTCAAGTTTGACTTAAATTCACGATCTTCTGTGCCATCAATTGAAGCAGCAAAATATTTTTTATGCGTCACTATTAAAAGGAAATGAAAAATTAATTAAAACCCTTAAAGTACAGTATTCGTGTGATTCCTTTTGTAAAAATGCCTGAAATGAATTAGAGGTTTTGATAGAGAATTCCATAAAGCAATGAACTGTCGAAACTCTTGCTAAGATTAGCAAGCTCGCGATATTGGCGGTAATGATCAATTAAAACGATGCCTCGGTGAGTATAGCATAAATTATATGACTTTATTTAATTTTCACTCGATTAACCGAGTCAAAAAAAGTAGGCTCCATAATTTCATAAATTTAAGTTTAAGTTTAATTTTCATCATTTCTCTCTGTCCGCCTCATCGCTTTCTCAAAATCTGAAATTCGGGTTTTATTTTTGAATCGCTTGAGTTTTCGTCATTAGGTAGCTGCATTTCGAGATATATTTACGCGTGAACATTCTCTACAACGATCTCATTTACAACAAATTTCACTGTATAACGAATGTTTTTGTGGCGCCATAGGGATCTCTATCCACATTACAGATGCATTCTCCGGCGAAATTTTCTCTACACTGAGGTTTTTCTGGTCTCCTGAATTTCGTTATAGACGGAGTCCCGCCCACCAACGTTAAAATTATTTGACGATCAAATTGGAAATTCAGTTCGATTTTTAAACCGCTTGAGTTTCTGTCATTTTACAGCTGGACTCTCCCTTCAACGATCTTATGCATAAAGATTTTCACATTATAAATAATTTTCGTGATGCAATAGGGATCTTTACCATGATATAGAGGCAGCAATATCATGCTGACAATGCTGGGGACTCTATATACAACGAAATTCTCTCTACAACGAATTTTCAGAGGACCGTAAAAATCGACATTGCCAACTAATTTTAATATGCTGGGAGACTCTATGTACAACGAAATTCTCTCTGCAACGAATTTTCAGAGGACCGTAAAAATCGATTTGGAGAGAATTAGTTGTACATAGAGTCCCCCTGCATATTAAAATTAGTTGGCAATGTGGACAAAGACGCTTTGGTCTTTATAGCCGAGATAATTGGAGAGCCAATTATTTGTAATCGGGTGCTATGACTGAGTGAGAAGCTCTCTGGTGGGTTGCTTGGAACCACACCCTCCTCAAAATGCGTCTGGGGAAGCCAAGGGGGAAAAAATCTTGAAGCAAACTCAACAAACCTTTCATTGTTGATTTTGGTCCCCTCTTTGCTGATGGCAGATTTTTGGGTGCCTTGCTGGTTGGCGAAGAAAGTCGCCGCGTTGCCAGCTGCCGGCGCTTGGGCGAACAAAAACGGCGGCGGTGCCTGAGCTCGGCCGCCACTAACTCCGTCTCCGGTTCCAGATGATGGCGCCTGGGGCTCCACTGGACTCAGGATGAGGCACAGGTGAATAACAATAGCACTCACAGTCACCAACACCGACGAGTGTCTCGCGCGAATCATTGTCCACGAGTTTCGCAATCTTCCGCCAAGATAAAACTGTTTTCTTTTCGCGTGGCGACGTCAAATCGCGAACCGCGTGCTAAATACACTTTCTTTAGACTCTGTATATAGCGTTTCAACCCGGCTTCGAGTCCATTCTGAGAAATGAAGGGAGGGGAAATGCTGATATTTTTCTCAGCATGTGAAAATTCCGGTGCACAAGCTCAATTAAAACATGCCTAATGCCAAGGGGAATCCAGCAAGTGGCCTTCACAAATGCGTTCGTCGGAGAAGTTTCTCGAAAGTCCAGGTCGCGACCTTTCTTCATTGACGACGAATAAATCTTGGCCGACCATTTTCATGAATTTTTTAAAAATAATTCATTCCACAAGAAAGCGTACGGTCATAAACAAAATTAGGGAGGATTCGAGGGACATGTAATTTTAACCTCTTCATAGGAACGAGAGAAATGATATCGACAAATTGTGTCGTGGGCAATAACGTTTGCACCTGTCAATTTTTTCAGGAAATTATCTCAATTATGTGGGGATCATTCTCGAATTTTTGCAGGATTTTCGTCTGTAACACTGCTCCAAATCTCTCAGCTGCATATATCCGAAATCTGTATTGACAGTACCAAATAGAAAACATTGTCATGTCATACGAAATGAAAAATTTCTTGACACCTTCATCACCGATGACCCGATATAAATGCACATCATAATTTGCACAGCTTCTATCATAAATATTTTTCAGCTGCATATTGTTTTCTGGAGTTTTTTTTTCTGCCCGGAAGGTCAATGCGGAAGTCTCGAGGGAAACGTTTGCTTCTGTCCATTATTTTCAGGAAATCCTCTTCGCATACGAATTTTTATTTTAAATATTCTAAGCCCATTTTTTTCTCAGCGAAAATCACTAAAATTGTCCTTATGAACCAACAATGAATTTGGAAAGTAGGATATAGCTATATATCATAGTTATACATCATATAGATAAATAGCTATATTTCATCCAAGTGCAATGGACATTTTGAATAGGAAATCCGAAAGACTTTCGCATGGACCCGGGGCATTTCAACCACAGAAAAGTCAACAAAAAGAGATTCGTGAGTTATGAGCGAGCAATTTTACCGAGCCGGAAATGACTTTCCAAGAATTCCGAAACAGCTCCTTCCTATTCGAAGGTTATTCCCCAAAAAAACTTGTGATCCAGGCAATCATAAAAACAAAAAATCCCTTGGGATTCGGCTTTCTAACCCCAGACCTTCAACTTTCTGGCTCCCACAGAAGCTCAAGCGTGGATCCTTGGGTTGGACCGCTTACGAATTTTCTACGGCGCACCACGTGGTTTGCCACCTGGATTAATGAAAACCAAGCCCGTGCCCGGGGGCATTTGCATGCGCACGCATTTCTGCGTTTTTCCTTTCGAAAGATTTATATTTTGCATCTCTGAAGCGGAAGAAAGGAAAAGGCGCGCCTGTGTCGGACGTGCTGTTTTCTAGGACAAACCTTTCGCAAAAACTGCGTAATAATAATACAGTAAAAAAAAATATCTACTGCCTTTTTGCTACCAAGGATCGAGTTTTCATCGAAAAATAGAATCTAGGCAGTCGTGTGCACAAAAGTTCCAGGATGAATGGAAGCTTTGGCCAGCATTTCCGATTATGTGCTTATTAGGAGGACATGAAATCAAGAATAAATCAGCAGCCAGAGAAAACCCTTTCGCAGGAAAAGCGAAGCATTTTTCTTCCCTGATGACCATGTAGTCAATTTTCGCCACATTTTCAAAGTATTTTATTTTAACGTGCATTTAGACCGACCCATGCCATCCTACCATTTGAATTACTCACAGTTCACCGACCGCATGCATTACTGTACTTTTTGTATATACGTATATTTTCAAACATTTCACTCCAAAGATTTAAAGGCTCGTACAACGCATTCACTCCAGCACATGAAATGGCTATTCCGAAAAAGTGCCCCATTTGAATATCGTTGAGACGATATATTCTACGTAAAAAGTAAATTTAATGTTTCAAATACGCGAAAAGTGTTTTCGGAAATATTTGCTGATCGTTGCAGAAAGCTCTGTCAAAAGCGATCACAAGACTTTTTTGTGACAATAAAATCAATTTTCCAACGAATTGGATACTTCGCGTAAAATTTTGCGTGAACGAGAAAATAATTTTCTGTTCTGAGCTGATTTCTTTACAAACTTGTGATGAAACTCAGCTCAATCGATGTCATTCATCCGAAATTGATCAACGAATATGTGGCCCAGTAATTCTCACTCACAATAAGATCAGAAAGGTTTCTATAGTATTTCAGTTTCCCAGCATCAGTCGAGTTTAATCTTCATGTCAGCGAAAATAGAATTAACGTAAATGATCCCATTCATTTTTTTCCTCAAGATTTTCCCAAAAATTTAAAGATTTTTATGAATATTTTTGTTCAATATCCTGGTTAGATCGGTCAATCCATTTTGGCTTGTACCAAGACTAGTCATTGCAAGGTGACGCAAAATTCAATGATTCTTTCGGATACAGCATTTGCAGAATCGCAGAACTTAAACCTGCTGACCTTTCCTATAAAAAAGTATTGCATAATTTGATGCTGTGGAATGACGTCTTGTCATGAATAGAACGTAATTCTGCCACAAGTAACCCTTCCAGCTTAATTCCCTCCGGGAATGAAAAGAAGACAGATGGCTCGCACCGTAGTGTCTCAATTTACAGACGAGACGAAAAAAAAAATGCCAGAAGCATGCCAGTTCAGAGCTGATAATTTTTAGCAAGCGGTTTGTTGCTCAAGATGTGCCAAGCGCAGATGTCCAATTATTTTAATAAGAAAATTGCCGAGATTATTCATAAAACATTTTTTGGATTTTCCGGGAGTTTCGGGGGCCGGGGAACGATAATGAGTGTGTCTGTTGAATCGATCGATCACAAAATTTCAGTAGGAGCGTTTGAGGCTTGAAGGATATGATTTTGGAGATTCGGAGTACTCGTCGGCGCCCACTTGGATTCAGTTAATCGAGCAGTTATTTTCAATTACTACAATGAAAAGAATGAAAAACCTGACGATCCGCTGACGTCTTTTGTTTTCATCACCCTAAGGTTAAGAAAAAAGGCATGAAGATATCATTCGCCTCCGCACGGAAGCCAGAACATTTTGAGGGGTTTCTCAAAAGTTCAACAAATCACATAATATTCTTCGAAGGGTGTTAAAATTACCCGATGGTCAACATTTTCTGCAGCAAGGTGAAAAGTGCCCCGTTGTTGCGAAATTTGAGATTTCATCAGAAACAATTTGAGGCATTTATAATCTCAATGTATTATAGGAAGTACAGTAGTTGAAAAAGCTAATGTTTCTTTGTGAACACCTCAGAATTTATCCATCCATATTTTAAAATACAGTGCAGTAGTTTTACGCTGAAATTCCCCCGAAAGGTTCCCTGCTGTTTCCGGCAATCTCATTGACAGTAAGCTACTTCATCAAAATGTATAATTGTCTTGTAACTCCTTCTCGGAAAATCTTTGGCACGAATGATTCTGCGAAATAATTCAAAGCAGTCTTTAGGATGATCGAAAATGATCGCACGCTTTCTTTTTCTGTATAATTTTTTTCATCTGGTGGGATGTATGGTAAATCGACGGAAAATAGCCTAACAAATGTATCGTACTGTAGTTGTTCTGCGATGATGATTTCATGATGAATGCGAGGCTTTCAAGAAAGCTCACTCCTATTGTATTCAAATCCAATGTTCACAACCAGTTGTCCGTGGACCAACGCTGGTTCACAAAAGTTCGTTGGTGGTCTATGACTCTATGGGACATTTTTTTCAGGATATATAATGAATTTATCAAAAGTAGCAATAAAGTCTGTTATCTTTATCTGAAATTTTGAAAAGACAATAGCAGTTGAAATAATCCTATTAAAAATAAAATTTGGCTTTTCTCCTAATAGCGCTTCAAAGTATTTTTGATCTGCCGAAATATTTGGATTTTGTTTATTCTGAAAAACCTTTCTCCAAGCACAGGTTTCAATTTTTTATAAAGAAATTCCACTAAAGCTGCTTTATTGGTTCTAAACTTCATTTGTTAAAAAAAACAGGAAAATTTTGAATACCTGCCTTAAAGTCTTTCAAACAAAACCTTCTCGAGTCTGTCAACATTTTATAAAACTTTGCGAGTTCGCAAAACAATTCATCGACATTTTCCCGTCCCATGGAAGGATGGGGAACACTGTTAATCTAACCCACGCTGTGACCAGGTTTATCTTCAGAATTCAAATCTGTGCACCGTTTTTCCCCCGCCAGTAGCAATGATTACTGAGTCTCGCCAAGGAATTTCCATCACATTTTCCTGCAGAGCCCGGAAATTGGGCGGCGGAAATCCGCCGGTGGCTCAGCGGGAATGCCGTGCTTGTGCTAAACCCGCGGCGCTGAAAGTCGTCCCACGCTAGACTCGCAGCGCTGCATACAAAGGGCTGCAGTGTCAGAGGAACGTATCATTTGACTCTAGTATATTGCGTCACATGCTTATATGAAAAGTCCCTACGACTGCTCCTCTCTTTAACGATGCCGTTAGCTGGCTTAGGGCGTCGACGACAAGCGAGCTTAGACGTGGGTGATAAAAGCTAACCAAGAGCTGCACGCTGCGCTTAGGCAACTCGTTGCTAAGCTCTATTTGATCGCGAACTGATCCGGAATTCTAAAAAAACGAAAAAACGAGCGTTTATTTCAACCCGCTTTTGCGGTTTTCCAAAAAAAAAAAATTCGCAGCTGCATTGCTGCGATGGGTGATTCAAAAGTTTTGTCAGTGTTAATCAAAATGAAGTTATTTTAGTAATGCTCACCCATTTGAAAATATCTGTGAGTTATGCTAATACTTTCAGCGAGTCTCTGCTGCCTTCTCTTGGTATTTTAAAAAATAATTGTTGCCCTGAATTTGGAAAAGTTATTCTGTCTAAAAGAAATACTGTTTTGGTGAAACAGCCCGCATTCTGTATCACCAACGCAAACATTTTGATTCGCTGGATATGTTTTTAATGCAACAGGAGATTGGCAGTTAGTGAACGATATTGTCACAGCGAATGTTTATGATTATTTAATGAAATATCTGGTTAAATTTTGAGTCTGAATGCTCGCTTCAAGAATTCC